CCTCAAAGCTTTCAAGCGGTATCGTAATAAATTAACTGGTTTACAAAGGCGTGTGAAATCTGAATACTTTACAAGTCTATTCACTAGAGATGATAACAAAGATTCACGTGTTCTTTGGGATAGGGTAAACAATGTATTGCATCCAAACCGTGAACGTCAAATATTAGATAAAATAATCTGGGGAGATGTTCAACTGTGTGGCTGCGCTCTGGCGAATGCTTTTAACAGTTACCTAGTGAACCAGTCAAGTGATGTAGATCTGCCTCAAGGTGGACCCGATGCTTGTGGTTATATCAATCGTAATTTCGAAAATTCTTTTTTTATGAGTCCGACAGATGAGTGTGAAGTTCTTGCGGTTTTTAAAAACCTAAAAAACTGCAAAAGTCAAGACGTAAATGATTTCAATATCAAACCGATTAAGTATGTCGTCGATATTGTGACACCTGCGTTAACGTATATATTTAATCTATCGCTTTCTTCCGGTGTTTTTCCTAAAGCAATGCAGCGCACTAAGGTGGTCACTTTGTATAAAGGTGGCGATAAAAATGTGTTTAAAAATTATAGACCTATTTCATTGTTATCCATATTCTCAAAGGGTCTTGAGAAAATAATTCATCAGAGACTTTATTCCTACCTAGAGAGACATTCTGTTGTTTCTAATAGTCAGCATGGCTTTCGTAAGCACCGGTCAACAGAATCAGCGCTCTTAGTACAAAAACAGCAGATCATTGAAAGCTTTGAAAACAAGGAACTTATTTTGGGTATATATATCGATTTTTCAGAAGCGTTTGACTTAATTAATCGCACAATATTGCTGGAAAAGTTAGAGCGCTATGGTATTCGTGGAACTGCTCTGAATTTATTTTGATCTTACCTGCAGTACCGAACACAATTCGTTACCATTAACAACTATATTTCAACCACTCAAAAAATTGAAACCGGAGTACCTCAGGGTAGTGTGCTCGGGCCACTCTTATTTATTATTTTTATTAATGATATTGAAAATAGTGTACCACAGGCAAACCTTGTTTCTTATGCTGACGACACAACTATTTTTATTAAGGGCCACACAGCGGATGAAATAGAGAGCACGGCAATAAGAGTCCTTTCAAACATCGATTTGTGGACGAAACTAAACGGGCTAAAAATAAACGCGGAAAAAACTAAATGTGTGTTATTTCGACCACGAAACAGACAAGTACCTAATTTGCTTCAAATAACTTTAGGGTCTTCGACACTTCAAGTGGTAAAGTCTGTAAAAATATTGGGCGTTTATTTCACTGAATCGTTGTCATAGAATGAGCACATTGATTATATACATCAAAAAGTTTGTAAATCTATTGGTCTCCTTTGTAAGAATCGGGATGTCTTTCCAACAGGTGTTAAATTACTTTTATATTATTCTTTGATTTACACTCACTACGTGTATTGCCATTTAGTTTGGGGCCAAACAACGATACAAAATATAACAAAACTACTGCTAACCCAAAAGAGGGTTCTTCGAATTATCGCAAATGTACCCTTCTTGCACCCTTCTCGGGAGCTCTTTCTTAAACATAATGTCATTCCTATTGACCACTTGTACCAATTTCGCCTGCTGGTGATGTATAATATGGCATTAAAACATAATATTTCTTTCCTTTTCGCACTGTCGGGCTTAGCAAAACTAGACCATAAATATGTCGCACGTCACGGCGAAATTTGGAGCGTTTCAATACCTCGTACGAATTACGGCTTTACATCATTAAAATACCCATTACCATCTTTACTTAATAAACTCGAAGCCAATGATATCAGCATCTATGGGACATCAAATCGGATGTTGGCAAAAATCATATTACACACAGCATAATTTTTACCTCTTGTGCCTGGAGTTTTTGTATCTGTGGTGAAACTTTTTTCTACTTTAAAAATATTTGTTTTGATGCATTTAAGCTGAGTGCAACAATGTGAATAGTCGTTATTGTGTTTTAGTGCCCATTTTTGTGTTTGTTTTCGTTGTGTTTCCAATGCTGCTTTCCCGCCAAAGTGTGTTAGGGCGCCAGGACCTCGTCAAGCTGCAACCGCAGCTTTTTGTCCTGACGTCCTCCCTTTTTGTACCAAACAGAATGGGAAATAAAATACATTATTATTATTATTTGGGACACGCAGTAGAAGGAAGACCGGGGCACTTTCCTTGGTTCCCGACATGCCGGATATTGTGCCTGCGTATGCAAACGTATTAAGACTTAACTTAGTCCCCTAACCCCAGGATTGTATCTTTGAGCTCACGTTCAATAATCCTGTCTAGTAGCAGTGAACCACAACTGAAATTTGGTCACTTTGAGCCCTACACGTATTTTGTTTGCCAAACGTCCGCTTCGTGTTACTTTATTGAGCAAGAAACAAGCCGCATCTTCACAGGATACTCACAGTTGAGCCCAATGTTGGCGCATGAACTTACAAGGAAATGCAATAAACTCGCACACACTACCGCACAAAAGTTGCTACGAAGTCCTCCTCGTGTCATCATATATTTCCCACTAAACTTTTATGCCGATTGGAGGTTCAGTTTTCGCAAACGCCGAGATCGGCTAGCTAAGACGGAGTCCCTAACAAGCGTCCCCTACTCCTCGCGAAGCCTTTTTGGATTAGCCTTTACCGATGCCCAAGATCTGTGTCTGAACGGCGGTTCTGAAATTATCTCGGCATACTCAGTCAGGAAGAAAGCAAACATATAACAAATCTTATGGCTATTAGCAACCGCCAAATGCACTTGGAATTCTCTACCGTAATATCCCGAGTCATCGCCCATCCCCGAGCCATCGCCCACCCCATTTTTTGGGCCAATATCGATTTCCGAAAAAACACCGAGTCATCACCCACCCCTTCAAATACCCCAGCGCGGACTCTGCGATCCGCGAACACTCATCCTACCCGAATGACGCGACCGCGGACCTTACAGTTGGAGGACGTCCGTGACAAAGTAAAACGAAGGAGGGAAAGACACTTCTTTTTGTTTACGCATTTCCTCCGTGAGCGACCCCAAAGTGGTCGTGTATCCGTGCGAAAAGAAAACGATGGAGATAACAAAATAAGAGTTTGTTAATGTAACCACGGAGTGTTAAGTCAAAGTCTGTCTCCGCCGTAGTAAGGACACCGCGAACCCGCTCCTTCTTCCCGCCCGTCGCGACCACGGTTGTGCAATATTTTAGGCAAAGCCATCGCGTAAATAAAGCTTTGCTGGAACGCCCTACACAGACGTTTGCAGAGCGTCCCAACCGTGCATTGATAGCCCGCCGTGCACGGACGCACGTATGTACGCACCAAACAAGAAAGTTGCGCAAGAGCTTGCGATTGACAAGGCGCCCGACTTGGCCCGACGCCAAAGTATTTGCCAACGCGACCGCCGGCTTTCCCGCTTTCCCAGGATTGCTCTTGGTCGCTTCTTTGGTCCGCTCGTTGCGCCTGGTCGGTTTTCTATTTTCTTGTAGACTTTTCTTTCTTTCTTTTTACTAACTAGGAAAACATAGTGGTGACATTCTTTCACGGAACAAACGTTCGCGCTATATGCAGGTCGGCGGTGTTTCTAGCGCGTATGCAAGCAACGGACTTCGCTATAGTAGAATATTCTTTCGTGAGCATTTCTTCCTATAAAACAATGAAACTAAATCGAGTTTTGAGTTTGATGTATCTCTTGTGCATCAGCGCTAGATACGCAGTGAAAAAGAGGCGGTTTTTTCCGCTTTTTTTCAAGTGTTTGTGCTCACCCACCGAGACATGGCCCACCCCACTTTTTTAATGAATTTCAGGCGGTAGGGGGGTGGGCGATGACTCGGGATATTACGTAGTTCATTTGGTGCGAGCTGTCCGCCGAACTGTGCGACATTCTTCACGCATGTGCTAGAGTGTTGCTTTCATCAAAACGGTTTGTATGTGTGACTGTGCCTATATGATTGCAGGATAACTTCATGCGATATAGAATTAGTCGAATCCAAGCATGTAGGGACTTCACTTCGCGCAGTACTGTGGGACAGTATAGCCATAAAGAGATAAGAAGTGTTTGATTTCAGCTACTCGACGGCGTCTCCCAGATTTACTTCACGTACTTGGGCGTATTAAAAAAAAACTGTAATTGAAAAAGGGGCATCTTTGTCAATGGACGCATAAAACACGTTACAAACTTGCTGACCAGCAGCACTAATGCAAAGTTGCGAGCTCGGTGCAAGTGAACGTGTTGGTTGTTACAGTAGTTGACTCGTACACAAGCAAGATCCCCAAGCTTCGCAGCGTCGAGATTCCCAGCACTGGCTCGCCCACGTAGTACCTCAAAACGCTATCAGAAGAGCTCGAGTACAAAAATACAACAAGCACCTGTCAAGACGAACTGGTTCGGGCTTGAGCTAAAGCTTCGAAGTCGGTCCATTTGGTTAGTTTAGAGGCCCAAAACGATGAGCTCCGGACCAGAAAATATTAGATAACGGCTGTTTATAATCCACGCTCGGTGTATGATCTCTTCTCGACGTGTGGATCGAAACCGAAACTGCCCCTCTCCTCCCTGGCCAACTAGTTCCCAGAGTGCAACGCGCGCAGTGTTGCTCGCAGGGATTTATGGAAATAGTCTATTGGTTGTCCGAAAACCTGATTCTCCGTATGGCGCGCGCTTTGCCAGCTTCCCCAAGCGACCAACATGCAAGTGCTGTGGTTTTGTAAACATGAGACTGGAGTCACTGCCAGTATGAGAAGGACAGGGCGTCCCTTTCCGATGCCCCCATCAGGCACTGGCGGGCCTCCGCCGTGACCTCCGTGCACGCTCCCAAGGGCTGCAACTGCCCTTCTCTTCCTGCCAGAGACGGGAGAATTCATTTTTCGCCAGAAAGAAAACGTTTTCCGAACGCCCGGCCTCTTTGCTTTGGCTGCACGCTGCACTGGAAGCGTTGTCGAAGCTGGGAAGTTTGAACCTCCTGCATCTCGTTCTGGCAGCGACCGACCAAGAAGGTGAGAAGAACGAAGATCGGCACCTGGATTTCTTCGGGCAGTTCTGCCAGGTCGTCCGGTACACCGGCGACCTCCAGGCCGTCCACTTCCTGCCTGTCGTAGACCTCCTGATCCTGCCGAGCCACAGGCCGCTCGTCGAGTCCGTCCAGCGCCTCCATGCCCAGGATATCGGACATGGGTTCCGAGTCTCCGGGGTCCACGAAGTGCACCAGCGGCGTCGCTGGCTTCTCGACGTCTTCAGTCCGCCCGAGGGGCTCCGTCAATACGGAGTTGACCGCCTTTAATCTTCCCAGAAGTTCGGCGACCAGATCTTGGTTGCACTCGTCGAAGGTGTAGCTTATGTCCATTCTTATCGACGGTCGCTCGCCAGGCTCGCCAGCCACCGGCGTCGTTGCCGCCATCTTCAAAAAACCACGTTGGCTGCTTTTACGACTCTGGATTGGACAATCCTAGTCATCCTAGTGATGGGACGAATCTTTATCCGAATCGAGATTCGGAGCCGAATCTGGAGATTCGGAAAGATTCGGAAAAGTAGCCGATTCTCAAAAGATTCGGAAAAGTTCGGAAAACTTCGGAGCGTTGCCATGGTTGCCATGGTGTCCAGATCACGTTGATGAGTATTTCACCTTTTCGTGATATTAAATTCACTAAATTCTACAAAGCGCACAAATATTGTTGTAATATAATATCATAGTAATAAATAAACTTTTTCGCTCTGTTTATAATATTTCTGATGTTTGTCGAGAACGGTAAACAGACATCGCGGGAAAATTGGTTTCGGTTCCGGATTGCGACCAAAATAGGCATGCTTGGTGCACGTGGAAATATAAGGTCTGTTCGATTCGGCTAGAAAGTTCTGAACTAGTTCTGTCCGAGTTCAGAGGAGTGCAGGAGTCGTGCAGCGGCGGCGCAGAACCAGTGCAGCCACCGCGTTAGGACTGGCGCTGTGATCGACTTCCGGAGTACCGATAAAACGGATGCGCAAGACGTCGTCTGCTTTTGCCGTCTGGCTGCGTCGCCATGGAATTTTGTCTGCTAGCGCTTGGATATTTGCGTTAGTTTTATATTACTTTTTTTTACAAAAATATTTTCCATGTATGTTTCTTTACATTACAAAGTGCGTGCAGCATCTAATGAAACATGTCTGCATTTTATATCGTCTGATTTCGTGCTGCGATCGCTTTCATAGACATTTCATCGACCACGTACCTGGATACCTTCGCGAGATCAAGATGACGATGTCCCGTCAGAATTTACTGGCCGCTGCAGTAGCGCTCATCGAAGACGAGAGCGACGATGAGCTCGACGACATCATCGCCCTCGCCTCGATTGTTTCGGCACGGACTGACAGGAACAGGGTTCCCCTGTACTACGAAAAGGTGATCGACACCTACTTCGATTTCGAATTTATGCGCTTGTTCAGGCTTTCGAGAGAGACACACGCGGAGCTGGCTGGTCGATTTGAAGCTTCGGCGTTTTACCCGGATTCCGTTGGCGGACGACCGCAGATTTCGGCGGAGAAGACATTGCTGATTGTGCTTAGTTACGTAGGCACGAGAGCCACAATGTACCAGATTGCGGATCGCTTTGACATAACGGAGTCGTCCGTTCACCTCTGCATTGAAAGAGTTCTGAACTTTCTGAACAGTATCAGCGCACAAATAATCACCTGGCCTGACCAGGAAAGACGTCGGAGGAGCCAAGCCGGCTTCCTGAGGAAGACTAAGGGGAAAGGGCCCCACAAAACGATCGGGGCGATTGATGGATGCCATGTAGAAATCCTGCGACCAACAGAGTCTCCGAACTCCTACTACAATCGGAGCAAGTTTCATTCCATTGTTCTGCAGGGTATCTGCGATGATCAAAATCAATTCATCGACGTCTACATCGGGTTCCCCGGTTCAGCGCACGACGCCCGCATCCTGAAGGAGAGCCCCATCTTCGAGGACGCGGAAGCCAAGTGTGCGGGTGGGTACCTGCTGGGGGATTCGGCTTATCCCCTGCTGCCATACGTCATGACCCCCTTCAAGTCTTCAAAAGCGGCCCTGCCGTCCTGGAAGACTACGTATAACACGAAGCACGGTCAACAGAGAGTGACAATCGAAAATACTTTCGGGCTGCTCAAGCAGCGATTTCGGAGAATGTACTTGGTCGACAGCGCCAGCATCAGACAGTGCTGCCTTGTCGTTATGGGCGCCTGCGTTCTCCACAACCTCTGTAATACAGAGAGAGACTTTTTCGATGACCTGAACAACGCCCGCCCGCCTGACCAAGTCACCAACGACGACGACCACGCGATCCAACCGGACGACGCCACAAGGAGTCTCTCTGAGCGGATCCGAGAGGCCATTGCTAAGACCGAATGTTAGGAAGCGATATCTACACCTGATCCTCCAAAAATATTCTTTTTTTTTATTTTGTGTGTGTGTGTGTGTGAACATACAAAGATGGTACTTGAGCTTTGGAAAATGAAGCGTACCGACTTCATGAAAACACGATTAAACAAAGTAACGGGTTACTTCGTTCCTTCATTTCTGCGTACAGTATTATTTTGATCCAATATCCTAGTACGTTCGTATACCAGAATACATATATGCGGGCATGCACAGGTAGTCAGTGCCAGTGACTCCTAAAACGTAACATTGTTCCTAAAGCTATTTTCAACCTAACAATCAACAAAACCTAAAATAAAAAAAAAAAAACAAAAAACTAGATATGGCGGTAAAAAAAATACATGCTGCAAAACTCGGAAATAATTGTAAAAACTAAGAATGAATCGTGGGACTACAGAGGAGTGGCAAACAAAATCAGCAAGACAATTTGAACGAATTTATTCGTACGGCACATTTGTGCACCAGTCAAAATAATAACAAAAGAATAAATAAAACGGCCTGCGAAACAGTGAAACTGTAATCAAGTTATGAAGCACGTCTACTGTGCCGGCGCGCTCTTCTCGATTGCAGTCACGAGGCGCTCGAGAAGAGCCATCCGGTCCTTGTGTCGTTTCTTGCGACTCTCCTCCATGTCGGCGAACACCTTGAGCAGCGAGCCCAGGACGGTTTCCCTCTTTCGCTTGCTCGGTGTACCGGCCGGAGCACGCTGGTTTGAGGGCGGAGCCAACCCTAAGGCAAGGGAGGAGGGTCCTGCCTCTGTCCCTCGAGAGGTTTCAACCTCGGCGCTGAAACATTTTTTTTTTTTTTTATGTTACGTTGATTATACGTTTCTTAAGTACTTACCTGTCTCCTTCCTTTTCAAGCACTCTTCCCGGCGCCAACAACACAGTTGGTGAAATATGGTGCTCTTTCTCGAGGATGTCATGAAGCTCGCTAAACCACAGAAACAGCACGTTTACAAGTGATGACCTATATAAAAAAATTAGTGAACGTACGTACTCCTCGTATTCAAAATGCACCCTGGAGTGGCCCGACTTGTTGTTTTTCGATTTGGCGTTCTTGTACGCTCTCTCCAAGGACTTCCACTTGTTTTCGGCCTGGTCAGCGGTGACAACGCCGCCGAACTCTCCGACGACGGTGTCGGCCAGCTGCTGCCAAAGGGCTCGTTTGGTCCTAAACATGATGTTTACTACGTATTAGCATGTATTATAAAATATATCCTGACAAAGACATACCTGAAACCCCCCTTTGCTCTCAGACGCTCTTTTAGTTCCTTATAACAGCCGATAAAGAACTTCGTCTTCGCGGCACTCCACAGCTGCCCGTCGACGTCCGTTGTGGGTGGACGCGCAGGCTGCAGGACAGTTGGGTCTGCGTCCGGCTCAGAGGCAAAGACGAGCGTAACTCGTTCTCCGTCTTAAAGAATAGAATGCGAACATTGTAAACATCGATGTATAATCGCGAGGTGAATGACTGGCTTAAGCAAGTCATTCACGAAACGTAAGCAAGGCTGCGTAAGCAAGCCGACGCAGCCCTCTTACGATTTTTAACGTATTTAATTCGAGCTTATTCCTACCTTCGGTAACGTACACCATCCCGCTTCCGTCCACTACGGGCACACCATTTTCGTCCACAAGTGGGAAGACTTCCGTTTCTACGTTGTTGTGTATAACAAACATGCTTTAATGACCGAGCACAGCGAGCAAAAAAGAGAAGAGTCGTCTGCTTTCGTCGTCTGCTACTGCACGAACGCTGAACTGGCTTCGGAGCCGGTGCAAGCATTTCCGGAACTGGGACTGAACTCGTTCAGAACTAGGATGAATCGAACGCGCCAGTGCAGCGGTCGTGCAATTTCCGGTTGAATCGAATGCGCCAGTTCTTGCACTGCTGAACTAGTTCAGCCAGTTCAGGCGAATCGAACAGACCTATACACGTTTGCAAGTCCGGTCTCAGGGCGCCGCCATCTTCCTCAGTGGGTGCGCTCTTGGCGCGGCCATAATCCGATTACGACGCCTTAGCAAGGCTTCGTAATTGGATTATGACTCGTCCGAGCGCACCCCAGCCAAGTAAGATGGCAGCGCCCTGAAGCCGGACTTGCAAACGTGTATAGACCAGTGTCCGCGCCAATTCCAGGGCGCCGCCATGGATGGATGGATGGATAGATGAATACGGCTGAGCCCTTTGGATCGGGCGGTAGCTTACGCCACCTAGCCATTTTGTTTTACCATTTAAGCTTAGAATATTTAAATGTGAAATCTATATTCACTCCGCAGTGCAAAGAAAGTGAGGCTATGAAGCCCCCTTGCCATCAGTGAATAAGAAAATACCTAGTTTTCTCTCGATTTCTGCCACCATTCACTTAATCTTTGCTTGGTAATCTCTACAGTCTTGAAATCCACTCTCCCTTCGCTGTCTCTAAAACCGCTAAAACCCAATGACTTTATTAAATCTATGTTGTCTTCGGTAGGCATAGGGTGAAGCCCTTTACAGTAGAGTATCAAGTGCTCAGCCGTCTCGTCCTCCTCTCCACAAGCAGCGCACACTGTATCAATTTCCTGGTACTTCACTCTGTATGTTCTGGTTCGCAGAACACCCGTTCTTGCCTCATAGCGAGTTCGTTTCACACGCACTGGCACCGTTCGAGTTCTCTCCCAGAATGCATCGCACTCACAGAGTGTTGCACGGAAAACTGGACTCAAACGAACTCGCCAAATGCACCGCGTGCAGAAGACCGATGTTGCCGCCATCTATGTTGTAGAAAAGGTACCGACTTCAAACCGAAACTAGCGCCTTTCTGTTCGGAGTGATGCGTGGGAATGCGAGAATGCAGTCGGCTACCAACGTTTATCTACAAACTGTGGTCGCTGCAACCTGTAGTTTATAGTTGCGATGACTTCAAGCAGCTCGGCTGTCGTAGAGATAGTTACAGACGGCGTAAATTTTCGCACCCAGTTTTATACAAAGCAGCTGGTTACGATCTTTCAATTCTTATAACCGTTTACACTGAAGAAAACTGATGATGCTGTCCGAGCAGAAGCTTGATCCGTTTGAGCATGGTATTATGCGTGAACCACTGAAAGGGTACGGCTTAAAACTAGCCTGTTGGAATATCCAGCAAAACTGGGACTTTCGATTTGGATTGTCATTATAGGAGGATCAGAAATTAGCCTTGGTGAGGGCGTCAAGAACGAGAGCTTTCTCGAACAAAATACGACGGGGCAAGTTAGCTGACGTAGGTAAATCTTAAACATGATGATGTTGCCCAATCCTCGGGTAAAGTTACCATCTTTAGCTTTCTCTGATGCTTATTGGGCAGACAGAGGTTTCTGCTGGGGGAGTGTTGCCGACAAATGTTAAATTTTCCACCCGCACACGGATGATGATAGACATCTCGGGGGCCGCTGTTACGTTTGTTCTGAGCATTTCTTTACACACTGGTATATTTCAGCGTTTGTACGGCAACAGAGCGATTTAAAACCGGCAAATAAATCACGGGTTGTCAATTGCTTCCTTCGGGAAATAGCAGACGCTCACAATTCAAGCTCGCGTTTGATTTCGCGGCCCGCGGGACGCGATTTCTATCAGAAAATCTACTTTTTGTTCCGTTCGGTTCCGCGACACATCGTAGCAGACGAACCCTCGTCGCCTGCTCCCGCTCCTCGCCGGCCCCGCCGGAGCGAGGCATGACGGGATTGCATTTTGGCGCACTCCCGATTTTCTCGGTGCAGCGAGTGCATGCACGCGTGGGGTATTAGCGCTGAAACGAACTCGGAGAGTGCAACCACTCGTGGAGTGCCGGCTGAAACGAACCCGTTCCACGCTGCGAGTGGGCACGCGTGGGCACGAGTGCTGTGAAACGAACTCGCTATCAAACAGCCTCAAATGTTTATCTACGCTCGCGCCACCACGCGGAAAGAACTGGCAGGCAGGGAGGGGAGGGGGGGGGGGGGGGGGGGGGGGGGCTGCGTCGGCGGCGTTGCTTTGGGTAGCTGGATGCGGCAGGCTGTCCGAATGCACCGACACATCGCGAAAGATGTCTTCACCAGAAGCCTCTGCGGCCCGTTCTTCAACAGGCAAGATGTCGTGAACATTCGAGAACCCATCTCGATCAAGGAAAACCTTTCTTGTCTTAGATGTTCTCGGTGTCTGCCGACCCTTGACATCCGCGTTTCAGTCCGGGTTCATTGCGTAGTAAATATTTCGCTACCGCTTTCTTGTAGCTTTCAAATGCTTGATTGTTGGCTTCTTGTATACGACATTACATTCGTGGCACGTTTGAGACCGATTTTCGCGATCTGCTTGCCTTTCTGCGGCAGCGCGGCTCTGCCAAGCCGAAATAAGTGCGAGGCGTTCACTTGATCGAACGCAGTTTTAGCGAATGAAAACGAGACCACGACGTTTCATCGAATGGGTCTAGTTACATAGACAGCTCGGATTAGCTTTCTTTTGTAATGTGGCGCCTTGTCTGCCGCTGCGAAGCGGAGTAAACGAGGGCTCCGAGTATGTTAGCACGCGTCCCCCCCCCCCCCTCCCCCCCCCCCCCCCCCCACACACACACACAAACACACACTGCGAGCGTCTGGGTTCGAAACTATTAATTGCCAGTTCTAAAGGATGGTACTTACTTGAAGTGGGAGCTGGAATTCTACGAGGTACCAGGAGACACTTACTATCGGGCAACGAAGCACGGTGCCTGTGGGGGCGGAGTCTAGGAACGCTACTGATTAATATTGTGACAGGCGATCAGTTATGATAGCAGACGAAACTTCGACTCGTTTGTTCAGAAGTTCGCGGTGATATTTTATTAGCCCTCGTTACAGCACACCAAGGATCTTAGGCAGTGAAATTCACATCACGCAGGCTCGTCCGTCGTAGTCAAATGAGCGCAGTCGACGATGAGGTGTAATGAGCTACTAAGCTTCACAAGGAAAATGCGCGTGAGAAAGAGTTTTGAGGAAGTCCAAAACACCGATCCAGCAGACGCACGTACGTGCGTTTACTCCGGACTTCATGAACCCGACGGCGCAAGATCAAAGAGCACCGCCGCCATCGCCACCCGGTTTTCTCTGCACTTTGCGCGACGACGGCACTGCAACGGAGGGCACTCGCCTCGGCGTTAACAATCCGCGAAATAGATTAATTTCCCACTCTTGAAGCCATTCCAAATGATAAATGAAAATACCTCGGCGTTGTTGAACATCTGACGACACAACCAACACAACTGTGCCGCTGGCTGCGTGAGCCTGACACAAATGTGCCGAGCGCCTGCTCGGCACCGTTGTTGCTCGTGAAAGCCTGCTTATTTGTAGTTGAGACGATGATTCCACATCTTTCGTGGTGCTTGCAATAACTTCGAAGGGCAGGGGAACCTTCTCACGAGGACGTTGAAGACACTCAACACCGGAGCCACCAAAGCAATCGCACAAACCGTCGCCATGTTTGCTTCTTCTTCGTCACTCGCGGCGCGGTCAACTCGTCGCGAGATGTTTTCTGGCTCGGCTAGACGAAAACCAACAACGGCAAAGTGGCGTATGGACACACGGCTCTCACATTACGGGCACTATACTCACATACCGCGGTAAACAGGACCGATGCCGGCGAAACGGCAGTCGGCACACCAGCGAAGAAGCCCTCAACGGGAACCGGCGGCGCAAGCCGACGCAGCCCCCCCTCCCCGTGAGCGTCTGGGTTCGAGATTATTGTTCGCTTTTGCTCCTTGCGGTCGAGGCTAAAAAGAGCACTTCCGGACAAAGGTCTATATGTCTATATAACGCTTTGCAGCAGCTGTGCATGGACGCCGCCATAACTGACCTTCAGTTTTTGCTTCCTCTTATTTCGTCTATTTCACTTCATCTTTAGTATACACTCCGTGCGACACGACTGGCGCGCCGCCGCGCGGCCGGTAGCGAAGGTAGGCAGTGAGAACCTCGGAGAAAACGAAACCGAAACCATGCCGCGTACGTTGGTACGCATTGAAGTCGGAGTGGTGCGGTTGCGCTGGGTTCACAGCATGAAGTGCTGCCTGTGCTGCGTCATTGAGTGCTTCAATAGTTATGCGCCGTATCTCGTGGAGACAAAGTTTCACAGTTTTTCACCTCGCCGATATTTTGTGGGACAGCGACAACGATGGAGCCGTGCCGTACGACGCGAGAAATTTGGTCCCCCGATCATGTCTGCCACTGTGTCATCACGGCTGACATATTCTACACTGCCGCTTTGCGCTCTGCGTTTGTTTTCGTACCAGTAACGCCTATATGTGTAAGCGCCGATGGGACGAACTGAAATGCCATCCCACACTCGCGGGTATGAAGTGCCAATTTCGGTGGAGGAATGCCCTCCAAAGTAGTTTCGTCCCCATCGTACGTGTCATTGATATTTCCGGACAAGTATGGCGCGCAATCTGTACTTCATGAAGAAAGATTCGAACGGTAAAAAAAGTGACAAATATAAATCTAAAGAAAACAACAGTGAAACTCGGAATCACTGGATAATCGACGTTTGAGTATGGAAGTTTAAGTGGTGTGCTTTCTTTCTGGATCAGCCTCCTTTTGGATGTGAAAACGCTGACACCCTGATTTCTGTAGACAACAATTTTTTTTTCTCGGCTTTAGAGTTACCTATCCCAAAGTGGTTCGAACTGAAAGTAAACTGTGCACCTCCCACGATGAGTGATATTATCTTGACAGCCTTTGACGGTCAAAACTGGCTCCCATTTAGTTACGCCGCCCAAACTATATTTCCGCCTGGTTTCGCTATGCCAACTCTTTTTGTTATAATAAGTGTTGTGCCAAGTGACGGTCATGTCAAAGTACATGTGCGCCGAAAATCAGCACCTCGCACAACAGGTTATTACACAACAGCTGACCGC